AGCCACTGAGGCCATGCAGGGTCAACAGCTCAAAAAAAGATCAAAGAGCTCAATGAGGTCACTGCAAGCAAATCTGCGAAGACCGTGACTCCCCAGCGGAGACACAGACTGCTTGCGGGAGGGTCGCCTGTGTCAAATACATCATCAATTTACAAGTGTGTGAACGGGAGGCAACACTCACTTCAGAACCCACTTTCCATGCCTAAAACGTTTTATTTCTGTGCCGCAGTAGACCGTGAAAACCAAGATCAGAAGTACCAAACCACTAATGATGTCGTGTGCAAACTGCTACCTCTGATCTCATGCTGCTTGCCCCAGCTTGATGAATGCTCTCCCGATTTGACTCGATCGATGAAACGCTCTCCCGATCGATGAATGACCCGCACAAAGGAAAGCAATCATGGAAGGATTCCAGGGACTCCACCAGCCATGGTCCATGTCGTATGTTGTGGAAACATCATTAGTGCACCTGAGTTGCATTCTTCTTTTAGCCAAGATGTGTCTGCTGCGAACGCAAGTGGTATATGACCAATCTCCCAAATTTATACATACGTTACATTCTACAGTACATCATTCTACTCTTCTGATTCTTCTGACAAGTTGCCTTTAAAGGAAACAAATCGTTCAACTGTGGTGTGATGAAACAGGAGGCCAGCAAGGTCAACTACTCACACAGCATCTTCATGCAAATCAACATTGCCCTCACAGCATGAAAACATTACGAACTGCCGTGATCTGCTACGGCAACAACAGACGTACTAAGACTACGAATCCCGACATGACGAAGCCTTTGAGCCTTTCTGTCCCCATGCGTCGGCCCTCTCCTACACCTCGGATGACTGAGGATCGCCAAGACCGCGAAAGGCACGCGATCGACGACGACTGAGAGCTGTTGACTGAGAGCCTGATCATGGAGACTGCAAAGTCCTAGCTGGAGCTCTGAAAGACAAGGAGAAAAGAACAGAATCACATCGAACGAAGCTAGGGCAGCTAGGGTCTGGGACACCCGTAGTCCACTTCCATCTTGCTTCAAACTTCAGAAAGGTATCCTCCTTCCTTTAAACACAATAACTTATACAGTAAGTTATTAAGCGATATATGATTACCCTTAGTTTCGAAGTTCAGATTGGGACATGTCATTGCCAACAATGGAAAGCATTGGACGTCCTCGATGTGATCAACCACAATACTGGAAACTCTGCTGAATTAACCAGGGCCACAGCGGAACTTTCATGACTGAACATCGCCAATCCAGAAGGGAGTGTGCCCATCGATGTCGTGGGCTTCTGTCAATATATCAACTAATACAAGAGTCAGTAGAATTTGACAGGTACACTCCCGAAAACTAACATAGACCCTGACAATGGCCCCATGGAAGACGATTTTCCTCTACCAACGCAGTGGTTTTTCAGGGTCCATGTGGGCCTCTTCCAGGGCCCAGGACCATCCTGACAATGCGCTCGTAAACTGCAGGAGATTCGGAGAGACCTGGACCCTATATAGGAACAGTGTGACTGTCTTAAGACTTCACATCTCGGACTTGATCGAGCCCGGCTCCAGGCTCCGCTTTCTGCTTCGATGGACCGGTGGACCCGGTCGACTCGCTACCCCTCCCGGACGTTCGCATCTGTTGACGCAGCGAGGCTGCAACAACATATCTTACTGCAGCATCGTTGGATAGCAAACTTCTGCCAGCGAGCGCGTTTTTGATGTGCTGGGGAACAGGCTATATAAAAACATCTTCAAACCATGACTGCTTTGCTTTCGAGTGATCACAGGTTGCTGTACCCAACTTTCCACGCTGGTCGACCGTGCGACCGTGTTTTTCAGGGAGGAGATTTGGATGCCGGCATCGTTCCAAATCGGCCGACAGGGAGGTGGAACCACCATGCGTCCCCTCTCAACAAGCGATCCCATGGCGGTCCCGTGGCGGAGAGCATGCAGTTCTGGAGTCCTGCTTCAGCCGCAAACGCTCATTCCCGGTGGCGAATTTGGAAGTTGCATCCAAAAAAAGGTGGTATTGGAAGTGGGTCACTCATTTCCAGAGGTCATGCCAATTCTAGAAGGGAAACGTCGACTGGTCACAGACCTACCTACTACCTACATGATAAAATGTTATAAGCAAGACATGACTTGCTTGCTTGCTCGATGTTGTCTTGAGCCGTTCTTGAAGAATAAAGCTCTGTGCTGACATGCTTCAGTGTCTGCACCAAGGGTGCATGGTGAACTTGAAGTCGTTTCACCAAGGGTCTATGCAGCTGCAGCTCCTTTGGTGGATTTGGCCCATCAAACGCCCGCCCGGTGCATGAATGGCGTGTTGCACGGCCTTTGCATCGGGGCGTCAGGGCCGGCCACAGTGGCCCTCCGAGGGCTTCATGCATGATGCTGCAGGTCTGCCTCGCTCTGATAAAAGTCGTTCTTCGTTTACCAGCTTCGGCTGTCACTGTGAGTCTAAAAGGAGCTTTGTGTTGCATCACAGTGTTGAGGTATTTGGGTTTCTTGAACCTGTGTTGCGAAAGCCTCTTTGGGAGTGACCTGTAGGTTACTCTACAACGGCTTTCTTTGAAGTAGAGCAGGGAGTGCTCTGGTGGCATCAACCGAATTGATTCAGCAACTCATTTTTCTCCTTGTCTCTTTTCGAGAAGCTTAATGTGTTCCACTTAGAAGCTGGGTGTATCAGAAAGGGCCCAGTTTCCTCAACGCAAAACTCTCCCTCTGACTATCCTGCACATACAGGCAAGCCCTGCTCGGAACCAAAACAAGAATCTGCAAGATGGGTGCAAGGTGGGTTTAAACGATCTCAAACATCTTCCGCAAGAACCAGCCCACATCTCATCGAACTTGCACTTTCAAACTTTGGCTCTGAATATCTTCATAACGTTTTCCAAACAGAACCATGAACGAACGAGTCAACGCCTCCTTCCCTGTCGCAGGCCTCCTCGACAGAGTGGAGCTGCATGGAGTTGGGGGAGGCTTCCGCGGTGACGGGAAGTCTCACATCGAGAGTCGGGAACACAGGGACATTTGCTGGAGCTTGAGAAGCGACGTTGGCTTGCATGTATTGGCTGCAGTTTCGTATTGCACATAGCATCAATTCTTTTTGGACAGTGCAACTGTGAGTGAACTCTCAGGAGATGTTCGTGTGGTGAGGAGAACATCTGCCTGAGTTTCAGTGCGCGTGATCATGGGTGCACTGCAGGACATGCCGTACGGCCTTTTTGGCAGCTCGGAGGTTTCCTGTCAAGTACACTATCTTAGTACGCTTGAAGAAGCGTTTCCGAAACCACCCACTCTTGCTTTTGCACATGCCTCTTTTGAGCTGGGCTTCTTCTAGCTAGCACTTCCTTGGGACTGTGCCAGTTGTGAAGAGTAGTTGGAGGCACTGTTGGAGGCTTGCAAAGCCTTTCAAGGCATCAGCTCAGGTGCCTGTGAGGAAACAGCTCAGGAACAACTTGGAGTTTGCCATCTGGTTAAATCAACTCAGGTGTGGAAACTGAATCAAGTCTCAACCCAAGTCTCAACCATTTGGCATAAAGCTGCGACCCTTCCAACCTCAGTGAGTTCGTCTCTGCACATCCATTCCCAAATCCAGTCGCGACCAGAAACCTGATCTATGCAGTGCAGTTAAAACTACTCAAAAAGAGCCGCTTTCTCAGAGTGTCTGAATCAAGATCACATCCTGCATCAGGACATCGCGCGATCGAACTGGTGCAAATCCGCCGTCTTTTTCGGCCATGATGCAGTGCTTTGGCGCTACAACAAAGAGGGTATTGCTGATGTACCGTTATTTTCATGGGGGCTCCAAGAGCGGACGTATCGATTGATTGACCTTTGTGGTGACCGCAAAGATATCATATCCGAAACAACTAACATTGCAGTGGACAAGTACGCTGTCCAAATTCAACACATGGAGCACACATATATAAACGTATAGCCATATAGCTGAACAATCCAACAATTGGTACTCCACATATATGCTTGTTCATTGAAGCATAAAGCTGCAGAGAGGCTCCAAGCTCAAGGAACATGCTGTAGAGCGACTCTAGGAGTGAACCCAACCTGCCAGCTGAATTGATACCTGGGCAACTGAAATGAACGTATCAAATCAAAACATGTCTCAAAACATATCAAAACTCAATGATTTCCGACCAAAACGCCTTGTTACTGCAAACCCACCCATAATCTCAACCAAAGACTGTATGAGTACCCATGCAAACACGGTTTTTCCTCCCGGAAATCAAACATCAAAACGGGTATGGAGCTCTAGCTGGACACGAGAATATCAAACAAAATCGTAGATCTACGATATCTACGTAAGAGAGAAAACAAACAGTTCCAAGTTCCAAAACCTCCTTTCCACCGCGCCTCTTTTGGAACTGCCTCGTGCAGCAAGTCTGTCTGAAAGCCACACAACCAAACAAGTACGAGGCTTTTTCGATGGTGATGTCCTGTCACTGCATAGGCGGACCCGAGCTCGCGAAAGGGGTCTTGTAACAGAAAACCCAGTTGTACTGGGCAGGGATTCGATTTCGAACGCCACAAGGACGAGCGCGTTTGGTAGACGGGCCCTGCTAAACGCCGAGCCCACAAAGCCAAGTCCGGACACCGCGGACACCCGCGGACACCAGAAGTCAGTCCGGCCAGCTCTGCAAGTGAACGGAGCCGAAGAGTTGATCATTTGCCCAGCCGAAGAGTTGGTGATTGTTATTGTTGTATCCAGACATCATGTGGATTGACATATACAGAAATTCAATCTACTAAGATGAAATATTCCATGTCATGGTCTAGATTCGTCCATGATTCCACAAGATTCACCAAATGAACACGTCCAGCTGAACGACTTCGGCTGACAAGGGTCAGTCCACTGACCTTCGAGAAACTCGACTGACCTCGTCCTGGACCAGGACGGCTCGGCAGACCAGTTCCAACTCGGTGGATGACCGAGTCGTTCGCCGCCACCCGCCCGGCTGCGCCGACGAAGGTCGGACCCGTTTCCTGGCCTTCTTGTCCGCTAGCTGGTTGAAGAGCTGATCTTCAATCTGGGCATTCCTAGTCTGAAAACTTGAGAGGAGGGAGACACGAAAGGTAGGACAGCGAGAAGAGAAGAGAACGCGAGAAGCAAGAACAAAAACGGAATGTTCGACATGGTGATTTATCCCCTCGGAGGCGACCTTTCGTAAATATATTTATCCCCTAAAGGGCTACCTTTCGTGATGATCCCAGAACCGAAGCTCTGACATGTTGAAAGATGTCGAAAGCAAGTTTAAGGATATTACCGAGGATTACTGCGACCCAAACTACAGACTAGGAGAAAAGTTGATATACCGTTGTTCTAGAGTCCTAGCGAGTTCCTGTCTGCGTTTTGTATCGACTGGGCATTGCAGAAAAGCACACACACACAAAATAGGAGCTTCGCGTCCGTTGTTTACTCGCAGTCCTTCGAATAACTCGGATTTCCTGGAGGGCTCATCTTGTTTCTAGGAGCTTTGTGTTGAATACCTTTCCCCCTAGTTGTTGCCCAGTTGCCCCCCCCAAGAGAGTAGAAAGGAACAATGGGGCTGTCCATGCTCATGCTCAGAGAAAAGATTGGGACAACCATACGTAGAGGTATTGACCTGCGACTTAGATACCCCTGACACTGGTGAAATATACAAATCCACCATCTCTGCTTCAACACGCTCTGTTCAGTATAAATGCACAAAGGACAATGCAAGTGGCCGATGCCAATCTGAGTAGCTGTGAAGCCACTCAATATGTCTTAAAGATCATTCCCACATAAAATGGGATACTTTGCTCGGTCGGTGGTCACTGTTCACAAATTAATTAGATGCATGTCCATCCCATCTGGTACCCTGTCATCCCTGTCACTAGCTGGATAGTAAGGGTCAAGCACCTGATCATTGATAACCGTCATATAAGAAAAAAACAAAATCATCCAACCTATTAAACCAAACTTAGGAGGTTGAAAACTATCATCAAAATTCAAAATCCAACCGCAAATCCTAATAGAACATCATATTATATATATATATATATTTGGACTTCCAGAGAGCCCAAGTGAAAGATCTAAAGATTTGCCACCAGGAAAAAACGGTACCAAACCTCTAACCCTTTCCAGTCTGCCTTTCACCGTCAAAGGTCCTCAAAACCAACGCATCCCTACCAAAGGACCACTCTAAGCCAACTTCCAACTTGTCCATCATCCATGCCCTCACCCACTATCAGCCACGTGCTCGGGATAAGGTTCACTTCCCGCCGGCTACCATCCTGCATCCATCAGTCCAAACGAGACAAGGAAATCTCAGGCTTGGGGAACCTGACAGGATCCAACCAGAACAGTCTCAAAGGAACAGTCGGCCGACCCCAAGCCTAGATGTTGACCAGTCTTCTACGATGGTTATGATGATTTAGTATGTTTTATTGTTGCTATCACTGCGAGTGCCTATATCAACTAATGAAAACAACAAGTGCTGTAGAATTTGAAAACCATGACCAGCTGGGCTTGGTGAATTGGCAGATCTGGGACAAACTCATAAAACTAGGAGGCCAAGTTTGCAACCGGTTCACAGAGCCCGCCAGACTATAGAAACAAACAAACATATCAGGAGAACTCACTTTTGCCTTTCGCTGGGTTCTGACAAAAATATGGTTGTGTCGATCTGTTTTGCCAACTCTTTGTCGTAAAACAGGAGAGGCGTGGATTCTCTTTCCTGCAAAGTGGTTTCGGCTGGAAAGAGAATCCACGCCAGTACGTGACCCTTTGATATCCCAGGGTGAGGTCACTTAGGCCTGCACAAGGTTAGTTAGAGACTCCAAAGAGGTCACTTTGAAGGTCCTGGCAGTTGTTTTTTCCCCACCTCTCAGGTGAGGGTTGTTTTAGTTTTTACGTCAGCCCCATCTCCTCCTCCTCCGCCTCGTCCTCCTCCGCCTCCTCCGCCGGACCTCAACCGCGACCATCCACGCCCAGTGTTCCCTGCCGGACCTCAACCGCGAGCTCCAGACCCAAGTGTTCCCTGCCGGTCCTCAACCACGACCATCCGCGCCCAGTGTTCCCTGCCGGACCTCAACTGCGAGCTCCAGACCCAAGTGTTCCCCACCGGACCTCAACCGCGAACATCCGCGCCCAGTGTTCCCTGCCGGACCTCAACCGCGAGCTCCAGGCCCAAACACAAACACAATCTTACCACCACAAAAACACTTCCAGAAAAATCAATCACAAACACGCAACCACAAACACAATCACAAACACAATACAAACACAATCACAAACACACAACCACAAACACACAACCACCAACACAATCACAAACGCGCAACCACAAACACAATCACAAACACACAACCACGAACACACAACCACAAACACAATCAAAAACGCAACCACAAACACACAACCACAAACACAATCACAAACGCAACCACAAACACACAATCACAACCACAAACACAATCACACACACATTCACAAACACCCAACCACAAACACACAACACAAACACACAATCACAAACACACAACCACAAACACCCAACCACAAACACCCAACCACAAACACCATCACAAACACAACCACAGCCACAATGACAAACAGGCAATGACAAGCACACAACCTAAACACAACCACAGCCACAACGACAAAGACGCAACCACAAGCACAACCACGAACACAATGTCACAAACGCAACCACAAACACACAACCACAAACACAATCACAAACACACAACCACAAACACGTAATCACAAGCACAAAGCCACAACCACAACACACAAGCACAACACAATCACAGCACACAACCACAACGCACAACCGGAGGACCCAAGCAAAATCAATAACCACAAAACTCACCATAGTGTGGGAGCATTCAGTTCGAAGATATGCCAGAGTGACTGGGGTCGGATGCATGTCCATATCTGTTGGCGCAGCTGTTGCTGGAAATACGGTGGTCAGTAATTATACACAGTTAAGAGTAACCGGAAGCATGTCCACCTCTGTTCTTGCAGCTGTGTGCAAAGATGCTTGAGACAAACAACATCCTACTGCATGTATGTTACATTTAACTGGTATGATGGGATGCTGGGAAAATATAACTATATACAAATATCACTTCGCAATCTGTGCTTTGAAGCAGTTCAGCGCACATCTAGTCGATCGCGTGACGGAGGCAGGATGGCACATCGTGACAAGTCAGCAGCAGGAGTGTTCAGCATCTGTCCTTCTCCTCCTTCTACTCCTCCTCGTCGTCTTTCTCCTGATCTGTTTCTTCGCCAGGTCATGGCACAGGGTGACTGGGCTGTGACAGCTGCACAGGCGCGGAGTACGCGCGGATGCGAAAGTGACTTGTGAAAGCACACTGTGCAGGGGTGTACTCCTCGTCTTCTTTGTGGAAATGGTGCATGCAGAGGTCAAAACTGATTTGAAGCTAGGCGAGGAAACGAAGAAAATCGAAGTGATTCGCCGGCAGTTTCCTCTTTTGCATGGCATGCTTCGCACAGCTTACAGTGCGCAAGGCTTGTTTTTGGACGGAGGTGTGCTGGTTGATTTGCGTCGTTCCGGTGGCTTGGAGCATGCTCACATATATATATATATATATATACATGTCATGCTGACACGTGGCCGCAAACTGAAGAATCTCATCCTACTGGGGTTCACCGAGCAAGTGGAGGATCTTTGACGCAAAGGTCCACCTACCTGCGAGAACTGACAAGTTGGAAGCCAAAGCTGCTTCGACACTGGAGCGACTGCAGTCCTGGCCTGTCTATGATGCATTGCAAGCGCCCTGACATGTTGCTCTGCCTGTGGGACCTAATCAGTTTGACTGAAGCGGTCTGGTGGAGGAAGAGAATTGCAGTTCGAGCGGTCTGGTGAAGTCATACTGGCCTGTTTGTGGCTGGTTTATGCACAAGCTTCTGGCAGGTGGTGTGCTGACATGTTTAAGCATGTTTGGTTGCTGTTTATTACAAGCTTTTGACCATGGTTCAGGTGGTCCACCGGCATGTTTTGGCCATGTTTATGCAAAAACGTTTGACAGGCGGTGTGCTGACATGTTTGGGCATCTCTGTTTGTTCGCAAATATTTAGAAAGCTCTTGAGTTTGGATCAGGTGGCCCACTGGCCTGTTTGCCTCCTGTTTACTCAAACAGCTTTGACATCAGTCCTCCTTATTCAAAAAATGTTGACAGGCGGCGTGCTGACATGTTTTGGCCTGTTTGTTTTCGCACTACGATTCACGTGGTCCACTGCCATGTTTATAGCCTGCTTTTGCACAAGCACCAGGTAGACAGCTTCTTCAGATGTCTTTGTCAACCTCAGCCGACAACCGCTGCCAGGTGAAATGATTTGTATTATTAGTTGGGCACAGGTCTCCTGATGAAAGCATTCGCTTCGGACAAAACAGTAAGACTTGGCGCTGAAGGACTTGTGCTATGGGCTGAAATACGCAACGAGGGTGATGTCAACGTGGCTGTGTTGAAATGTCATGGTGGGGATCACTCGAAGTAAAGTATTGTTTTAAAGCAATCTGTGTCCATAAGATCGAAGGCCACATGAGCATACATGAGCCACCTTTATTCCTTACCCTTCCACCCACTTTTGATCACTTCTTGTATCTGTCAACCTCCTGCGAACCATTGCAAGTTGCGGTGGTAAAGACAGTCCTTAGTGGTGTACTGAGCTGAAAGCATGTCTTCCTGCACTCTGACCATTTCCACCTGAGACAGGTGCAAGCGCCGATCATCACGCGTGGTGCGCAAAACGTGCAGAACTGCAAGTTTGCAGCGCTTTTCGCTCCAGCAAATTGTTGATGACATATTTAAAGGTTTCATAATATTTGGTTTCATATCTAGTGATGGATGCTCACAATCTTTTGCGCAGGGTCCTTGTATGTCCTTGTTTTCGTTTTGGCGCCACGTGTGACGTCCCATCTTCCGACCACGAGACGTCTGGTTCCGCAGAAAAGTGCTGCGCTTTCCGCCTCGCCCCGGTTGATGGACTCCATAAAGTCGGAATAATTCACCACATCAGCCGCCTCGCCCCGAATCGGGTCAAGAAAAATGACATTCGTACAGAAGCTTTGGGCCGTCTCTCTGTAAAAACATGTACATTTTTTTAGACAACTCCTTGGGAGTCTTTAGGAGTCCTGGAGGGAGTCCACGTGGGGCATGTTCCATTCTGGACACATCACACGTGTTCACCCATCTGGAATCCCATGGGCCGCACGACACCTATCGGAACGACACGTGTTCACCTCGCCTGCGCTGGTTGCAGGGTCACCACATAGCTCATCAGCAGTGCAGCAGCTGAGCTAGCAGCCCATCTGAGCTGGGCATCCGCCGGACCTTTCTTCGTACCCAAACTGCGCTGTGTTCGAAACGCGAATGCTGAGGATCCCCAAGTACGTAGCATCTACTAAGGTTCGTTTGGGCCCAACGAACCAGCCGTGACATGCAATGGAAGTGGGACAACGTCGGCAATAGTCAATAGTCGAAGAGGTCCGGGACAGGAGCGAAGGCTTGGCGAGGTTGTGCAAGGCAAACACTGTCCACGAGATCTCTTTGACCTTCAGTCCCTGTGGAGACAGCAAGACTTGCGCACTTTGGATTTTGGAGTTGATATAATCAAAACATGGTTCACAAAAGCACGTGGCGTTCTTGATTTGTGTCATGTTGGAATTTGGACACAAACTGAAATACAACCCAGTGAAGAAATAACTGCTACAGTATTTACAGTTCATCAGGGATAGCAGCTATAACTAAAACATGTCTTACCAAAAACAAAAGTTGTAAAATATCAATCAATGAATCCTTGTTATGAATCAGTCTTTTGAATTTGTTGTGATGCTTGTAGAAGTTGTCACAATGGCGAAGACTTGAATGTTGAACCGCCAACTCAATTTCCTGACACAAAGAAAACACACGTTTCCTGGTTTCTCTCCTGCGCAGCTTTTTGGGCATGCATAGCATTATATATAATATCGGTTATGTTATATTATCAGTATATTAAGGATTACAGTAATTAAATAACTAAATCAAGTCAATGGATTTGACTTCTGTGCCCACCTTGCCAGGCCTTCTACCCGGCAACACACCCTGATTGTGATCCGTGACTCTGAGGCTCCGGGCCCCGTAGTGCGTCCTCCACGCTCGACAAGACCTGCGGAGAGCGCAGTCTCGAGCGACAGTCTCGTCGACATGCATGTCGGTGCGAAGCACCACTGAAGGGATTCAGTGTGCAGTAGTTTTACAGTTTTACACCATAGAAAAACAAACACCAGAATTGTAAGGTGCAAAAACAATAGAAAACTCCCAACATGCTGTACTATACCGTACTCTTGTGACCTTGTGATCACACAATCCAAAAAGATCCTCTGACTCCAAGGGATCCCATTACATCCCAACATGAAGGTATGAAGAAAGCCAAACATCCAACATAGAAATGGTGGACTTTCTAGGCGTCCAAGGGGTGTTTGGCTAAAAAACCCACTGGCAAAGCGCACCTTCCTGAAGGGCACTCCCAGTGGCCATGGTAATGTTGATGGTGTGAATGATTGTTCAACCCGAATAAGACTAGTATACTGGGACTTTTGTTGGTGCTCCCATGGTTGTAGTTGTATGTCTTTGCTGCCAATTCTTTGTGCTCACTGCGTGCACCTCTGCAAACGCCCTGGCGGCAGGCGCTGTGAGCTGCTTGGACCGCTGCAGCTCTTCTTCAGCACATCTGCTTAGCTCAAGCAAGAGCCGTGGCAAGTGCTGCGGCCGAGGCTGTTGGAGGAGCTCCTGGTGTTTTCAGGAGCGCTCGACCAAGCAAACCGCAAGTGCTGCGCCTTGGGACTCCTCGAATGCTGTACACTTTCACGAGTCGTTGAATGAAGGAAAAAGCCCCCAGTAATTCAACGCATCTTTTCTGATATAATTATGATCAAAGGAAGTTTAGTGTGCAAAACTTCCGTGTTACGGACATTCAACAGCTGTTCAACCACCACTCATCATACACCACTCATCATACACCACTCATCATACACCACTCATCATACACCACTCATCATACACCA